ATTTCCCGCTCGCCGCTGCTTAAGCCCGCCGTTTACGCCACTTACGCCCGCTGCTTACGCCACGCCCACGTCGTTTAGCCGCTCGCGCCTACGCCGGTATACCCGCTCACGCGACCCCGCTTACGCCACGCTGAACATTCAATATCCAGTATGGGGCGACGCTTAAAACGCTTTTACCGCTCATCAGTTTAGTGTTATCAGTAATTAATGGCTCTAAAATTATTGCTCTCACTCCGACGTTTGCGGCAATATGTAACATGTGCGGCACAAGTTGTTTTTTTCGCACGTAGGCGCCCCCAACGCATATCTGCATGTGTATGTAGGGGTGGAGGACTTTAAAAAAAAAAAATTATGTTTTAATTTTTTTAATGCTTATTTTTTTTAATGATTCTTTAATTTTTGTATTACTTTTTTTTCTACACAACTTTATTGCTATCACATGGGGAGCTAAGAAGCCCCCTATGTGATTTTCCATTTACATGACAGGTCCTCTTCATGAAGACATCAGGGGTCTCCAAGACCCCTAATGTCACCTAGGGACCCCCAGAGAAGCTGATGAAGCAGAGATCTGTTTCATCAGCTTCTGTAGATGGAGAGCGAGACTGAATGCAGGAAGTGATGTAATATATGTCACTTCCTGCATTCGGGGACTGAGAGGAGAGCAAAGGGAGATCGTGTACTGATCTCCGATCACAGAGCCGTGCCGGTCCCGGCCGCATCGGGTACAGCAACGGCAGTGACAGCTGCTGGTAATACAAGCAATCGAGCGTCTCGATATGCTCGATTGCTTGAATGTAAAGCTCCCGGCCGGCCGTGTAATTACAACGGCCGGCTGGGAAGCTGCTCGTCACAGACTAGCAGATGTCAGCCTGTGCAAGGGTCTTTGGGTACATTCACACTTCCACTGCATTAACATGCACATCATGACCACTATCCAACTATCCAAGCTTTAGGGCATTGCAGTGTCTATTTAAATGGCACCCAAATGCACCTATGTTGCAGCGCACTGCAATGCACTACCACACCTTGAGGTGCACTGTGTCGGGAAAAAATGGTGCCTGCCTAATTTTCAATCTATTGTAGTGTGCTGGAGGCCCTTCAAATGAATAGGCTGCCTTATTAGATAAGTTAATACACATTCCTTAACGCACCGCAATAGACTGTTTATATTTAAATGGAACTTTAGGTACTAAGTCTGAAATTACTTGCAAAGAAAGTAGTAAGGCAGTTGAAGTTAGCAGCAGAACTATGGCAAGAGACACAATCTACCATGCAAGAACCTTCAGGAACCGAATAAAGTGTGCCCATGAACTACTTTAAATCACTTGAAGACCAGGGTGTTAAACCCCCTTCCTTTCCAGGTCATTTTCCAGCATTCAGTGCTGCGGTACTTTATTCAGTATACAACGCTGTACTGAAGTGAAATTGAAACTTTTTTGGTGGTATTTAATCACTACTTGGGGTTTTATTTTTTACTGAAAAAAAACACAAAAAAAACTTTTCCCTATATACATTACGCACATTTTTGGTAAAATATAAAAGACGGGGTCACGTCGGGTAAATGAGACACCAAACATGTCAAGCTTTAAAAATCCATGCACCCACGAAACCGCAAAAAACTACCATACCCAAAATTGGCCATAGGCGAGGCTTTAAAAGCTTTTATCGTGTGATTATCCCCCTCTGATAGCAGCCGTGCGGGATCAGCGTTGGCGGAGGGGGGAACACACCCACATGCATAAAAACAAGCGATCCAGCGGCTCTACAGAGGCTGAAACACTTGTATGTAAACAGCCATCTCTGGCTGTTCACAATTTAAGCAGTTTTCCCGCTCATGCGCCCCGTGGGATAGGTGAGGATGTTTAAAAACACCCACTCACATAAAAGAAGCACCTGGCCGGCCGTTTAATTACAACGGCAGGCCTGGAAGCGGTTGAAGTAAAGTGTGGCCACACCAAATGTTGATTTCATTCACCTTTTTGGTTAATGATAGGCATGTTCAGATACCAAGTACCGTACGTGGTTCAAGTACATGTACAGATACTTTTCCAGCTCTAAAACTAGACTAGAGAAAAATTCAAAAGTTAAGAGGCAGCTGTCATTTTTAAGGAGCATACGGGGCTCCTGGGATCTGTACATCCCTGTTTTAATGTATGATTTTTTTTTGTTTTATAAATAAATACATGGGTTGTACCGATACAATTTTTCGAGTACAAGTACTAATACTTCCAAGTCCAAGTACTCACAGATACAAGTACTGATATATATTTGTTTGTCATGTGACAGTTTTTCTAAAACAATACAGAAAAATAATTTCAGGACAATGGTGGAGCACCAGAGCCAGGTCCCAGCTTCAACCGCTGCAACCCTGGTAGTTCTCGTGAAAATGGCAAGTATTGGCACTGGTATCTGAACATCCCTAGTTAATGAGAAACTATTCATGACATTTTGAGACGCAATCCGCTTTACAAAACTTTGCACTGTAAATACAAGTTTTAACACAAACATTAATATGCCTAAAAAATACACTAACTTGAATTGTCCCAAATAAGTGCTTTAAAAATTAAGGCGGAAACTAAATCGATAAAGTCGATAAAACGATAATGAAAATCGTTGTCAAACGCGTAGCTAAGCGCGGCCTGACCATACGGTAACTGCCCAAGGACCCACAGCCTCCCCATGTCTCAGCATCCTCCACCTCAAGCTGCTCATAGTGGATTGCGGATGGGCTGAATAGGGTCCATACCAGGGAGAAGTGTTTGGAGTCACAGCGAACGCATAGCTGAAAATGGACTGACCGTTTAGGACCTGCAGCCTACCTATGTCTTAAGTCTCCTCTCCGGGCTACTCATAGTGGATTGTGGACAGGTTGAATAGCGTTGTAGAACAGGTGTAATTCGTATGTATTATGCGCTGTATGTGTAAACTGTGTATTAGGTGTACTGTGTGTATTGTATGGGATGTGTACTGTGTGCGTATTAAGTGTTGCATGTGTAGTGTGCGCGCGCGCTGTGTGTGCATTGTGTTGTAAATGTACTGTGTGTATGTGCAGTAAGTGGGTGTCTGTGGTTGGGGGGGACAGACGGTGCAGCTGCACCGGTACAGCCGAGCAGCAAATGCAATTAAGCCCGTGACACTGCACGCAGAACCACGCGCAGCCAAGGTACGTGTCTGTGCGCAGGTCTTTGCGTGCAATGTGTATCAATATCCTCATATGCCATGTCCATTAAATAAATATTTTTTCAAAAATTAAATACCTTTAGTAAACAACTAATATTTATTAATTATTAATGAAATTAATATGAATTCAAAATCTAAATACATTTTTTTTATCCAATAAAAAATAAAATCGGCCAACTAAATCTAATATGAAAATAAATATGAGTCACAGTCCTAAAAATGGTGATTCGTATAAAGACACCCAGTGTTTAAAGTAGCCTCTAACCCTTTTACTATCACTTACTAGCTTGGGCCTTGTATCTAGTCTTTTCCTTAACTGCCTTCGGGCCAGCCGTAGTAAAAAAATAGGCCGGCCCGGAGCACTCTAGATCTGAGCGGGCGTCTTTAGATGTCCGCTCAGACACGCCCGCTGGGCGCGCGAGCGGGAAATGGCCGCAATTAAAAAACAGGCAGCGATGCCTGTTAACATACAAGCGATCCGCCGGCTGTAGAGCTTGTATGTTGCAACGATCGGTGCGCCCCCCCCTCTCCTCTGAAAGAATGCGGAAGTGTTGTATATTACATCACTTCCGCATTCTTGTGTCACTCTCCAGCTTCAGAAGCTGCAAAGAAGCTGATGGAGCAGATCTGTGCTTCATCAGCTTCTTTTGGGGGGTCCTAGGTGACATTAGGGGTCTTGGAGACCCCTGATGTCTCCATAAAGAGGACCTGTCACATTTTGCTATCACATAGGGGGGTTTTATTAGCCCCGTATGTGATAGCAATAAAGTTTAGTGGAAAAAAAATATGAAAGTCCCCCAATTTTTTTTTTAAGTTACACATAAAAAAGAATAAAAAAAGAAAAAATGTAAAGTCCCCACCCATACATACACGCACATATGCGTCGGGGGCGCATACGTGCAAAAAAGACGATTGCGCCCATTACGCCGCACATGTTACATATCGCTGCGAATGTCAGAGTGAGAGCAATAAGTCTAGGGCCATCAATCACTGATAACACTAAACTGATGAGTGGTAAAAGCTTTTAAAGTGTCGCCTATGGCCAATTTTGGGTATGATAGTTTTCTGCGGTGTCGCAGGTGCGCGCAATTTTAAAGCTTGACATGTTTGGTGTCTATTTACCCGACGTGACCCCGACTTTTATATTTTACCAAAAAACTGGGTAATAATAAATGTTTCCTAACAATGTTAAAAAAACGTTTTTTTCCAAAATTTTCAGTAATTTTTCCTAATTATAGTAAAAAATAAAACCCCCAATGGTGATTAAATACCACCAACATAAAGCTCTATCTGTCCCCAAAAAATGGTATAAAATTAATTTCAGTACAGCGTTGCATGACGGAATAAACGTCAACGTATTGCAGCGCTGAATACTGAAAAATGGCCTGGCCAGGAAGGGGGTATAAACACCTGGTCTTGAAGTGGTTAAAGAGCCAGATATGCATTTTTGCATAAAATTTCACTTTTAATAAAAGTTTATTAGCATTTTAGAAGCAGCAGTGGGACCATTTCTATGCAGCTTGGAAATGATTATAGCAGCTATACATTTATTACTAGCCAGGAAACCGCTTCTGAACCTGCACCTTCAGGGTGAAAATGACTCAGAGTAGCTGACTATATTCAACAATCTATTTTTGTACGTGCATATTAATGAACAATTCCAGCAGAAAATTGCATTTTCTGGCCCACATTTCACCACCTTTGATATATTATGGAGGCAACATTGCCGTATTTGACAGGAGACTCACAACTCGGCACGATAAAATTGTAGCAAAAGAATAAATAAAAACCATAAAAATAAAAAACTACCGAACACTTACCAGTTACTTGGTCAACTAAAATGCGGGATGTAATAATGCGGCCATATTGAGAAAACAACTGCTCCAATTCTTTTTGGGTCATTGTTTTTGGAAGTCCACTGACATACAGGTTTGCATCTCGAATGGAAGCTGAACTTGGGCGAGCATAGGACACCTTAAAATTAAAAAAAATAATAAATGCAAAAAATGCCTAAAAATCACTTTAAAACAAAAATCCATAATGTGCCCACCATTCCAATATTTTATGCCCAGTAGGTTCAACTATTAAAAAGCTTTTGTTTCAACATTAAGAATGCCCAGAAAGTGAACATTTGGCATGATTCAAAGGTTCACAAATAGAAAAAGGTCTCTTGTAAAAACATAAGTTATCAGGCATGCTTTGAAATAACGTAGAGCATCATCTTGAGACAGGGCATTTTTTTTTCATCAAGGGGTAAGTGATAATTGAGCAAAAATCAGAGCAATACTAAAAGAAAACTGACCAAATGAGGGAAAGAGGCTGTATATTCAACTTCCACTTAACTAGTTACAGTTAACTCCCCATTCTTCAGCATTCAGACAACCGGCAAAAAAAAAAAAAATCCAGGACATGTTTCTTTCTCAGGTCTGCGCCTGTGCTCAGTGGGTGGGGTTTTAATAGCCAGCCTGCTATTGCAAATTGCAATCGCAATCTGGCTTTTGCTCCCAGCTGCTTACAATCACCTGTCAGCTGCAATGGGGGGATTTGCTTCAAAGATATTAACTTTCAAGCAACCAGAAAGTACAGTTATCTGGCACCTACCGATCCCAGTGGATGTCGGATAACTGGGAGTTTACCGTTTTACAACAAATATGAACATATGAATGCACCCCAAAATTCTAACATGAAATCTGTACAGGACTTTTTGGGGGCAGGGGAATTTTAAAGTGTTGATAATCTGCCTTATTTTCTGGCTCTGTACTGTTCTTATGTTTACATTTTGAAAAACAAATATTTTAGGGATGACATTTTCCATTAAGCTTCATATCCTTTAGTGTTTTTCCCCATTAGGCCGTCATGTTATCCCTTTCATAAACAACAATTCCGGATTACACAGATTCTCTGGCTGTTCTGTAGATTTTAGCAGGCATCAACACTACTTAAACCCTTAATCTGGCTTAAAGCAACAACCTTAACCCCCCCAATAAGATAAACCTGTGAAAAAACAGTATATACTTGCCTGGCTAAGCAGCCCCATTGCTGAGGAATAGTCCCCTGCAGTGTGTTAAAGAGAACACCAACACTACAGGAAACAATTACGGAGGGGGGAGAAGAACCTGCGAGTGCTGTGAGGGAAAGAGAACAGCAACATTCTCATAAATGTTGGTTTCCCAAGCAGACTCCGGTGGACTCCCTAAGAAGCAGAGCAGCACTGGGCAGCATGAAAAGAAGTATAAACTCTGTTCTTTTGCAGGTATATTTTGTATTTTTTTCATGACAGGGTTTCCTTACAGACAGTGCTCCCATTAAGATATAAATTCCCAAATTAAGACAAAGAGCCCCTTGAAAGAAGCTTCTAGTCATTATAAACAGGTCAGGAATAATGCGGCTGAGACGGTAGTACTCTACACACCCATCAGCAGTATTGGCCTGGTTAATTTATTTATTCCATGCAAAGTATAAGCTACTGATGAGACCACTCTGTTTTTCAGGAATGTGATCTTACTGAAGAGATTTTCAGAAGAGCATTTTTTAGGTAGTATTTGTAAGATGATCAGCTCTGACGACAATCACAGGCATGAAATATGGGTAAATTATGCCAAAATTGAACTTTATTGCCTTGCTATTCAGCACCAATCTGTTTAGAACATCTAAAAACACACAAACATGTGTAGATAGCTATACACCATAACCCTTGGCCATCAGTGGACCCTCAAAATGTCCATAACAAAAGGCAAGCAGGAACATACAACTGAACCCATGCCTAAAAAGGATTGGCTCCAAAATGCCACATTAATCTGGCACTTTTGATATGTTGGTAGTAATATAAAGCAAAAAGTAGCAAGCCATTAAGTTAAATAGGAACTTTACCAGTATCATTAAAACAACCACACCTTTAGAAATGTTTAGTAAAGACATTCTACAAACAGATACTTCTAGATAATTGCAGGCTTGTATTATTTGCATACCTTGTTTTTCATTTTTCCTAGTCTTCTGACAGTGGCCATGTTAACTAAGGGCAAATTACTAGCTCTCCCTTCCTTTCCACACGATGCCTCACCTCCAGCAGACATGGAGGATGACTGCACAAAGGACATCTCTCCGCCGGTCTCACTCTGCTTTGCTTCAACGTTCTGATGCTATACTTCAGAAAGCATCGATGTCTACCGTCAAAATTACAGATCGCCTAAATTATAGAGACATAAAACAATGCACCTCGGCACTGAAAGGCAAGTATGACAACCTATCTGGGTCTGTTTCTTCCCTCCACACGGACCTGGATGCTGTGCGATATATGAATAGGCTCCTTCTTCAGAAACTTGAACATGGAAAATCGTCCTTGACGCTCTATTTTGAGCATTCGTAGACTACCGGAAAAGATTACCGACCTTTTTTCTACTACACTTGCCCTATTCCAAGAACTTGCACTGGACGTTTCTGTGAAACGCCTCAAGTGCATAGGGCCATAACTTGCAAAAAACCCACAGGGACCCCCAAGAGATACAGTGGTCAAGCTCATTTTCGCTCCAAAGTAGAAATCACTTGCGAATGCCAGAATAAAAATCTCTACACGGATCAATTCAATTTCATGGTCACTGATACCAGCTTTTTGTGGATTTAGAGCCCTTTACCATTGCTAAAAGGCGCTCTGAAGCCTGGCCTGGATGCCCTCCAATGTCACAATGTACCTTACAAAAAACGTGAGTTTTTCCCTTTTAGTTTCCTTTTACCTACATTCCTGCAGCTCTTTAGAGGAGCTGAAAGCCTGCATGAGAAATTGGGTCTGTCAGATGCTGCTGCCTCTCCTCCTTGGGCAGCAGTTCTGGCGACTCCCACGAACCAGCTTCTAAGATCACACCCAGAGCGGGGTCCACGGGATGATTCCTCTGTTGTGCCCTCTCCGAACATCTTCTATTGCTCACTCATGAGAGTCGTGGAACTAGGCCCTTGTGCTGTATTTCTACCTGAATCGATGCTCCTGATGTTACTTACCGCATCTTAACCTTTCCTGTCGTGACCGTGTGGTACTTTTATACCCAGCTGTTATTTGGGTTGCCCCTCTGATCTATCCATGGATCCTTATTTTTCACCAATTTTTTCTGCACTCTACATTTTCATTCCAATTGTATTTGGCTTTCTTGTTGCTGTTTTTTACGGTTTCTACTGAGCATGTTATCCGAGCCCTCTTGGTCGTGGTGGTCAGACAACTCCCTTGTTTACTTTTATTACTGGATAGCCTACAATATTCCTGTTGGGTCGTTTGTTTTTATATTGATTTTATGGATTTGCTTTTTTAGCACAATGGAGTTCTCTGGTAATTGTGTTTAGTATTACAGTTTGCCTGAGGGACCTAGTTTGTGTGTCCCTATACCTTGGACATGTAGGGACAGCAATAGTCCCTCCTGTCCAATGTTGCCGAGTTATTGAGGATTTACTGTTGGTATGTTTGTTCTATTTTCTTCCTGTCTTTTTCCTGTCTCTTTCTCTTCTTTCATCCCCTTACCTGGATGCATCCGAGCAACACAAGCTTGCAGTTGTTCCATGGTATTTCTGTTGGTTGTCCTTTATGCTGAGCTTCTCTTTCCTCACGTTACTTAAAATACTTAGCCTTAATGTACAAGGCCTTAATTCCCCTAAATCCCACACCTTTCGTTATTTTCACACTGCACATGCGGATGTGGTATGTCTCCAAGAAACGCACTTTGCCCAAACTTCTTACCCTAAATAATTCAGTGCCCAATTTCCCCATATCAACATAACCAATGGCATCTGCAAAGAGGGGAAGGGTGCTCATTGGGTTTAGAAAATCCCTTTTGGTTTGCTGTTCTGAAATTTGGTACCCATTGGGTAGATACCTTATCCTTACCTGCCTTCATGGCACTGAAATTACATTAGTTTCTTAGTATGCGCCCAACAAAGATTCCTTCCTTTACTCATTATCCACAATTGACTCACACCGCATTGGGACACTGATACTTGTATGGATTCTAACCTCACTATCTTGCCACACAAAAGATAGACCCAAAGACCCCATCCCACCTGCACTTCTCCCAGTTTCGAGACCTTCTGTCTTGCTATTCTCTGGTAGGCTGTTGGCGGTTAGAACTCACCCATTACTTGCACTCATGGGCCCACACACTGATAAGTCTGATCTTCCACTCCTGTATCCATCCTATTCCTTGGTCGGACCATTTGGCAGTGTCACTGCTTCTTTCGGATTTCACTCCTAGGGGCAATGCGCCTGAGGTTTATGAATGACTCCCTCCTTTCTGACCCTACCTCTTGCTCTGCCATAGCTCCAGCTCTTCAAGATTGTATTTCCCTCAACCAAGCCCCTGATCGCTCCTTCAGACTTGAAAGAGGGGCTTCAATGACTTCTTGCTCCTGAGGGGGGATTTCCAATCTCGCATAGAGGCTCAAAGTTCCAACCTTTCACCCTCTCATAAATCCCCCTAAGAAGAAGCTTGTAGGAAACTCAATTTATTATTGACTGACCACGCTGAGAAACAATTACCAAGGACGGCTCACAAACACTACCTTAAAGCTAACTGGACAGACTCCCTCTTAGCATCTAAACTCCAAAACTTGCATTCCTCTTTTAAACTCTTTAAACTCCAAACTTCCTGGGACTCCAACACCTGTAGTCCAACTGCTATTGTAGATATTTTCCACCGCCACCTTTCCGCTCTCTATACCTCTTGGTGTTCATTCCCTGATCAGATAGCGGACCAAGCCCTTGATCATTTACATCTTCCTTCTCTTACACCTTTCTAGAAGGAGATATTTGAGGAACCGATCACCAAAGTCTCCCAAAACCCCATAGCTGAGGCCTTATATCCCTCCTCTACAGGGCTTGAAAAATTTGACGGTGTCTCACCAGTCAGTCAAAAATTTCACCAGTCAGCATGACCGGACTATAGCCTTGCAATTTATGTAAAAAAAATTTGAGGACCATAAATGTAAAAAAAAAAAAA